GAGATCTCTACTATTGCTTGGATGTGGATCTTGTGGGAGACAATGATGGAGGCCTAAGCTAGGTTGGACTTTGCCATTCTAGGTTCTCCGGATAATAGTCCTGCATTTATGGATTAAGCATTTTATGTTTTAATGTTTTGGTTGGGGATATACCACCCGTTTACAAGTGTTTATTATCCATAGTCAAATGGTTTGGTGGAATGGCTCATACAAACCTTCAAAAAGATAATTGCAAAATATATGAACTTTTAACATTCGAATTAAGATGGTTATTTGCTATCCTTTTGGTATGCATATGTTATAGGGGTGCAAAGTTCTATTAGTTTTTCACGATATAAACTCCTATATGGTCATAATCTGATATTGTTAACAAAGTTGAGTTTACTTTCGCAATTGCCACGAGTTGTTGATATTAGGTCTTAAGATTAGTATTTGATGAGCATTCTTCCACTAGTGTAAGTAGAGTCTACCAAACATTTGAGCCACATATAAATGGGACAATAACAGTGCTATATTACTTAGTGGAAAGGACCGTATTAGGTGTTGTGGCAAGTTGGACCACAAGTTTATGAGGTTCAGCATAACGTCAAACAAGTTGATCCTTTAAAAATTTTATATATATATATATATATATATATATATAGCAAATAAAATGTTTTGTACAAAGGGATCAAGAACAATTGACACCACCTATAGATCCATAAATGCTTGCTTTTGATATTCCTCTAAATCCTGGCCCATCCACCAAAAGACCTTAGCTATCTTCTATCCTTCTAAAAGGAAGTAATGCTTTGAAGTTCAAATGTACAACTACAATGCAATATACTATTATTAGCATATTAGGATTTTGATAGCCATCAGATTAGTTTCAATCTTGACCACCCGCTATTGTATTTAAATTAGGGTTTTTGGGTTAATTGATATGCATATTTCTATATTCTATTTTCATATTCCACACGCTCACATATATATTATTACACCTTTACTTTAAAATTTAATCTATACTCTAGTGAAGATTGGGGATGTTCTGGAGCTCAGCCAAAGTTGAGCAGTGGATTCATCCACAAGAAGGAGAGCTAGCTCCAGAATCCTGCAGTTGCTAGTGGCTTCACATTCTTCTCAGGGATCTGTTGTTTGGATACTATAATGTTATAAATAGTATAATGAATAATAATACATGTTTTTCTGCCAAAGGGTAAATGAATTTCTTCTGTTTTGCATAGGTAGCGAGGTGGTGGGAAACCCCTTGGTTGGCAGGGAAATCTCTCTCACTCCAAGGGTCCTGGGGAACTGGTCCCATCTCAAGACAGCTCTTGGGTGGTGCTAGAAGTTTGAGTGGAGCTGGCGTGTGGACATAGGCCATGTTCCAAGGATACCTCATTGTTGGATCTACTAGAGCTTGTAGCCACACTCATGAATCTCTGTGAAGGCACAGCACTCCTACCCCAAGCGGTGCAACTCGCAGGAGGCAGCGCTCCAAAGCTGGAGCCTGCAGTGAGACGAGCTGCAGCTTGAAGCAAGTCCACTCCAGCTCACGCTGGATTTGCCATTGTATGCAGCGCAATTGCCTAAGATCTCAGCAATAACACCGCTCACATTGAGAATCCTTGCACCCTGATCTAGGCCGTGCTGAGCTCCTCATCCAGAGTTTCTGAGGCAGCACACAGTATGAGACCATGTAAGCCTTGCAAGGATCCATGCCTCACAAGTGTAGCCTCCCAGTGTGTGTCCAGGCCACTGACATTCCTATATTGCATAGCAGAAGGACAAAACTTTTTCTCCAACAGCATTGAGAGTGTTGTCTGTGGCATGAGGTCGAGCATACTGGGGGCCCCAGTCCTCAATGCAAACGAGGCCACTCCTCATGTCCCTGGGAAGCCCCACTTGACTTTTGATTCCACATTGAGTGCTTCACATACCTGGCATCTTGATGACACAAAATGTCTGCTATTTCCATGGAAATCCAGTCATGGGTGTTTAGCACAGCCATACGTTACAACCCCCAGGTGTGTATGCTTTCAAGGTATATTCATAGTAATTTAATATAAGCCACACAAACAAAACCATGTGAATGTTTATGAATAAAATTGTTAATCATGAGGAGGTACATGATGTACGGCCAAGAAAAAGAATGAACAGGTCAGCCATTGGCAGCGGCATGACTTTACCTAGTATGCAGTCGTTCGAATTTTGGCTAGCGAGTGGTCTGAGTCGTACAACGATGGAGCTGAATGCAAGGGTGAAGCACTGGTATGATGGAGGCAATGGTGGCAAAGCACGGGCCTACAGTACATATCTCGCTCTGATAGTTTGCGCTGGAACTCCTTTACCATGGTAATGTATACTTGAACTATGTAAGTCAACAAAGAAGAAAACAAATACCAGGGAAGCAAGCTCCATAAAAAGAAGAGAATCTGATGTGAATCCAAACTTGCCATAGAAAGTCAGGCCATCTAATTCTGACAAGAACCATAGTTACATTTTATATATCAGACGGTTGAGACTTTGCATAAAGAAAACAGGTAGCTTCTTGCTGCTTTCCTGCTCTTAAAACACGTGTTTAACGCAAAACAAGTAGCAAACATTCTTTGACCACAAATTCCACTTGACTATAGATGACGTATGACATTGTCCTGCAAAAACCTTTGTTTCAAAAAGAAGGCTTGTCAAACACATCCTAAAGTTCTCAAGTTGCCAAAGACCACGTCTCGTCCTTTTGGAGACAGGATGGCCTACGCTGGAGCGAAGCATGTAACGTGTTGTGCAGCTTGAGCCGCTTACAAAATTGGACTGAAATATACACAGCGTAAAACTTAGGCGGTGAATAGTGTCAGTATTGAGGAATTTTCAATCCAGGGCTTCTTCTTCACAACATTGATCCAGAGAAGGAGCGGAAGTAAAAGATTGTCAAAGTTAGTAGTGACCCCTATACTGCTGTAATGGTATTCATATATTTGTAGTAACAGAGGAAGCACTATACAGTCAACAATATGTTCTCTATTTCTTCTGTTTGTACGGTTCATTTTTAGAATTCCAGATGGAGACAAAGAAGTGAGAGAGAAAATGGTATTTACTCTTTTTAAAATTTACAAAAAAATGGGCCTGAGGGAATTTACCCAGAATCAAAACCGTCTATCACATATTAGCAGACACTGACCTGCCTGTAGTGGCTGGGTCTGCCGTCTGGATATGTCACCAGCGTCATTCTGTAGCCTTGACGCTTGAGAACCAACTGTTGACTCAACTCGAGCTGCTCACAGGCCATTTCTGTGGCCTGCATACTCGAACCTCGGATGACTTTGGAGTGCAGCAGCATGAACTTGCCATCTGCCAGCTCCACCACCGCGTTGTGCCATGGTGTTGGGATGTGGAAGTTCTTCTCCTCGGAAGAACGCTGCGCTGCCACTAGAGAGGAATGGATGATGTTGATGCCATACTTGGGACCTCTGTTTGGATGCGGGTGGATGGAAATGCGCAGCTGCAAAGGGAAGAGCCACTCCACCATGGCCGAGTATGCACGGTTCCTGAGGATCATGAGGAAGGCAACCTGGCTGCACAGCTTCTTCTTGGCCGACTTTGACGGGAGATTCTTGCAGCTCTTGTGTTCGTACAAGTCCTCGAGCATGAACCTGGAGAAGCCACGATATAGATTGCGTGTCTCCGGGTCCTCCTTGATCTCCTTGGTGACGGTTGACTCGTCACATCCAAACAAGCACATGAGAGCTCGCCTGGCATTCTCTGCATTGGCGGTGAGCTCAGTCGCAACGGGATGCTCCACGGTGGTGTTGGAGATAAGCTTTGCAATGTCTTTGTCACTGTGGTTGTCCAGCAGAAACTCATCCAGGCGAAAGAAATTGACAAGGCCGGGATACAGATTGTGTGCCATCTCCCAAAACATCTCGCCGTAAGAATCCACAGCAGCGTCGTCCGAGCCGACGAGATCAGAGAAGACATGGCCATCCGAGGCGACGTTGTAGTGCACGCCTGGAGCATACACGGCCTTGATGAGATCCGCAACAATCTTCATGGAATGGATGGCCAGCTCCTCGGCCTTGTCCGGGCACTTTCCCAGAGTCTTGTCGGGATTGCACGACTTGACTGGAAATGCGGGCAAGACGAACTCGAGTGGAATGTTTCTTGCGACGTGGTACCTCACCTTGTCCGCAAACCTCTGCTTGCCCCCACTTGTGAACCACTGGTCGTGCTTTGGGAAGTGGATGTAATTCTTCTCGATGATGTCCACAACTTGGGAGGTGATGTCGTCCACCTCTTGAGGTGTGTGCGAGCTGAAGGGCTCCAGAAGGCAATCTCTGGTCATGACGCCGTTGTCCAGCAGCAGAGAGGCCAGATAGCTCATGCTCTCGCTGTCCTCCTCCTGGAGATTGGGATCCTGGATGAAAACCACGCCCTCGAACCCGCTCCCAATGTATCTCTCGTAGACGGGTGGCTGTCCACTCCTGGTCAGCTGCTGCTCCAAGCATGGAAATGGTGTACTTGTTCATCTCTGGAGCAACTGAGCGTGTGGCCTGCTTAGCCGCCTCTAAATCTTCCGCCTTGTCACTCGCGACCATGGAGGAGAACAAGAAATCACACTTTGCTGCTAGTACTGGGACATGCCTGGACGCAGATTGTGAGACGAAGCCAATCTCACCACTCTCTCTGTGGATGTACAGGAATGCAATCTTGTCCTTTGGATATGAACTTGCCATGGGTGTTATGAAGAAAAAGAGAAAATCTCAAATTTCAGGCTAGAGGATGGAAGATTGCAGACTGGGATCGATGAATTGTCTGGGTTTCCCTGGTTGGGCTTTTATACCAGGAAGCCGCCCGCCTTCCCGGTACCTACGCGCTTGACTGGAAAATTCTCAAACGTGGGCTGGGAAAATAGAACGCGATTGACAAAGTCACACAACTGACCATGAAGCTTCACACGTAGTTTCTTGTTTGTTTCTTTTGACAACGTTTGATTCTTTTCACAACCATGTAGAACAAGGAATCTTTTGTCAAGGCCTGGTTTTTCTTCTCTTCTTCTTTGTGTACAAATGCTAGTCTCTAGAGAATGGTGTCTCAAAGAATCTCTATAATTCGGTTCCAGATTTTCTTACCTTTGCATGAATGCTTCTAGTATGACACAGCAATCGTTTGTTGCATCTTCAAACTGGAGCAGCCTTGCCTCTAAAACTGATCAAAGGATTTGCATTTGCCCACACTGCAGCATCCTTGTAGCCCAGGACATAGAGCTCATCTAATACTGCATCTCCAGCCAGTTCTAAAGCCCAGTTTAAAAGCTGCAAAACAGTCGAGAAATTTACTAAATACCTTTATTATTTCTGTACCTGTCTTGGAGAGGCTCGGTTGTCGGGATTACAGTCCGGGCTGATACCCACTGTGTCTTGAAGACCGAGGCGCTTGGCAGAAAAGGCACACACTCGTACCTGTGTAAAAGCAAAGCGAAAGTTTCAGAAGCCAACTCAAATCTTACCAAGTGACACGAAAGAACCGTTGTTTCAGCAGCTGAAGGGGGCATGAAGAGTGTGAACCCGCCGTTGATGCACAGTCTGTTCTTGAAGACAGTAACAGGTCGTGGTGCTAGATAACTAAAAACCAGTCAATCTTCCATCTTAATGGAACGCAATAGCAAACTACTTACTTGGGAATGAAACACGACGTAAGCAAAGCGTTGATCAGATCTTCTTTGGAATCAAACTGGTCAACGAGCAGGCCTCTTGGTACTCGAAAGAGTTGCGTGATTGCAACTGCAAAGAGAAGTAGTGAACTTAGCATGACACAAGGGAGAGAGAAAAGAGACAGCTCCATACCTCTGATCCTCCCGCTCGCCTTAACGTGCGCGTCATCGGGCATAACTTTGTACAAAACTCTCCTCAGCACAGCCTAGTGATGGAGACAATAAAGAGGAGCTCTGAGCAAACTAGACACAGACTCAGTACCTCGAGAGATCTCTCTTACCCCGAGCCTGAAAGCAGTCCCATTGGCACGACAATCTTGTGCTAGATCCTTGGTTGCGACCAGTGCGTCTTGCATGCTCATCCCTGCCACTACAACAGCATAAACGAGCGCTCCAGCCGACGATCCAGCTAAAGGAGTATCCTCCTACGAAGATAGAAAAGCAGAAAATGGAGAAGAGTTGGAGCTCGATCGTACCGTGATATAGTTCCGCTCCATGAGGCACTTCCACTTTACCAATTCGAGCCTCAATCTCATAAGGCCCTGCAAACCTGCGTAAGGAACTCAAGATCAATTCATTTACAGGAATACATGCATTTTTACCTTTGGGTCAACTTCTAGCTGATCCCACTTGGTAGCCTGAGGTTCTTGGTGTTCAACCACACCTTCTCCCCATAGCTCACCCATTGATAACTTCCCATGGACTCACCCCTATGCTCGAATGTGGTGAGTTGTTATAACATATTTCTGTAAGTCCCAAATGACTTACCCAATTGGTCTAGTCTCCCGAGACATAACATTGCAAATAATCCTCCAACTGCCTATTCACCCTTTCCGGTTGCCCGTCTATCAAGAAGTGTTAGTGCCATCAAACTTGACTTAATACCTATTACCTGTCTATGGGTGATAGGCTATGCTGAATTTCAACTTGGTGCAATATTGTTCCAAGAGTGTTCTCCAGAACCTATTGGTGAAGATCTTATCTCGATCTGAGATAATCTCTTCTGGCCTTCCCCGCACTTGAACCACTTGTTCAAAGAACAGCTTTGCCACACCTTTTGCATCCACTTCTGTTGTGGTGGGTATGAAATGTGCCATCTTCGAAAATCGATCCACCACCACAAATATCGCATCGAACCCCTTGCTTGGGGGGAGTCCCGTGATGAAGTCCATCATAAAACATTTCCACGGACGATCTAGAATTGGGATGCTTTGTAGCAAGCCCCCACTAGCTTTAGTCACGGCTTTGACCTGCTGATATGTTAGACATGTCTTTACATAGTCTTGGACGTCCTTAGCCATATCTGGCTAGTGGTACTTCTTCTTGAGTAAGCCCATTGTCTTGGGCACTCCGCCGTATCCCACAAAAGGTCTGTCATGACACTCTTTTAAGGCTACCTTCCTTAGTTCCCCTTCTGGAACATACACCCTCGTTTGCTTGTAATATATGAGTCTATTGCGTTCCACATAGCCCGTTTTCTCTTCCGTTGGCAGCTCACCTCTCTGGTGAGCTTCCCATGCCTCTAGATTCCTCAGCAACACTTCTTGTGCTAGACCATCGTTCTTGTATGCAGTCCGCATATCATCCCAAAAGGTTGTTGTTGTGTTGGATATTGCCAACTTTAAGCTCGCTTTTCAACTAAGCGCATCTGCCACGATGTTGCTCTTCCCAAGCTTGTACAGAATCTCGCAATCAAACTCAGCCAAAGCATTGGCCCACCGACCTTGTTTTCCCCTCAGGCTGGGTTGTGACAAGAAGTGTTTCGTTGCCACATTGTCTATATAAACTTTAAAGTGTCTCCCAAGGTAGTGTTGCCACTCCTTGAGCGCCTTGACCACCGCAAACAATTCCTTCTCATGGGCAGGCCACTTCCATTAAGCCTTATCCAGCTTCTTCGAGAAGAACGCTACTGGATGGTTGTCTTGCTTCAAAATTGTGCCCAACGCAAAGTCTGAAGCATCCGTTTCTACCTCAAAGTCATTACCAAAGTTTGGTAATGCTAACATGGGAGCCTTCCTCAACTTCCCCTTGAGGTGGACGAATGCTGCCTCGCATTCTACTGTCCATACCATCTTCCCTTTTCCCGTTTGGTTTGTTAAGGGTAGGGCTACTCTAGAATAGTGTCTGATAAACTTTCAATAGTAGTTGCATAGCCCAAAGAATGCCCTTAACTCGTGTACATTCGATGGTCGCTCTCAATCCTGGATCGCTTGGACCTTCTCAGGGTCCACCTTGAGCTCGTCCTTGCCCACCACATGCCCGAGAAACTTTACCTCTTGTTGAGCAAAGTCACATTTGCTCTCTTTAGCATATAGCTGGTGTTCTTTTAGTTTCTCAAACACCTTCGTCAAGTGTTTGGTATGCTCCTCTAGCATTTCGCTATACATCAGGATGTCGTTAATATAGACGACCACAAAGTGATTCAGATAGGGTACAAAGATATGGTTCATCAATGCCGAAAATGTTGCCGGCACATTGCATAGCCTGAAGGGCATCACCAGAAACTCGAAGCTCCCATACCTCATTTGACAGGTTGTCTTATCAACATCTTCTTCTGCTACCCTGATCTGGTAGTATCCTAACCTTAGGTCAATCCTTGAGAAGTATTTTGCCTTTCCCAACCTATCGAATAGGTCCTCAATCCTTGGCAAAGGGTACTTGTTCTTCTTTGTATACTTGTTGAGCAATCGGTAGTCTATGCACATGCGCATAAATCCATCTTTCTTTTTCACAAATAGCACTGGCGCCCCATACGGCGACTTGCTCAATCTAACATACCCTTTGTCCACCAACTCCTCTAGTTGGCGCTTGAGCTCCGCGAGTTCTTTTTCATTCAAACGATAAGGGGGACGAACCACCGCCTTAGCACCCTCGACTAGCTCAATTTTATGCTCTATCGGTTGTGTGGGGGGCAACCCCGCTGGTAGCTCCTCCAGCATGGTATCCTAGAATTGGTCCAACACCCGCTGGATCACTAAAGGTACTTCTTTCGTTCCTGTCTTTTTGTCACTTCTCACCGAGAGTAAGCACAAAAATGCAGCCTTGGTCCCGTTAGTGAGTTGTCCTCTCGTGGACACCAAGTTTAGGTATGAATCTTTGGCCTTGCATTACCCTACCTTTAAATCCTGGGCCTCCACCCTAGATCTTCTTCCTTGGGCATTTGCTATTACCACAAGGTTCCTACCTTGTCCATGTAGAGCTACCATGAACCGATTGAACTAATCCATCCCGAAGATCACATCAAATCCCGCCATGTCCAATATAGTGAAATCCATGTCTACTTTCCAAGTCCCTACTTCGACTCTCACTTGTCGAAGTACCTCATCGGTGCTTTGGCTACCTTGAACAAACTATATAGTCCTTGGTTCGCCCAGCCGCTGCACTGTTAGTCCGACTTGCCGGATTATGTCTGCAGCCACAAAATTATCCAAAGCACCCGTGTCAATAAGGATCTTAATAAAGCTACCTCCGAGCTTCTCTCGGAGGGCTAATAGATGTCGCGAATGACTCTCTACCAAAATTCCTCGTGTAATGAGTAACTTTGAGCTAGGGACTCGATTACATACCTCAGTTTGGACTTCAATGGCCATATTGGCTCTGGCCTTCTTCGAGTAGGGACATTCCCTTGAAAAGTGTCCCACTTCACCGCAGTTGTAGCATATGTTATTTCCCACGCTGCTAAATTACTTGACCTTCTTATCCATGGGTTTGTCTCTTTTTGCTTGACTCCCCCACATACTTGCTCGCTGGCCACTGGATTCGCCTTTCCGGAACCCCGAGGACTCATTCTTAGATAAACTTTTCTTGAATTTCCCTTTGCTATATATTTCCCTTGGTTTGGCCCCTTTCCTAAACGTGGACCCCGACCCTATCGTGTTCCCCTTTCATAGGTTATCATTGAAATGCACCTTGATAGCCGCATCCAACACTTCTTTGTAATTGGTCAGGTTCCAATGCATCACCTCGCCACGAGCCCAGATTTGCAAGCCCGATATGAAGGCATGGAATGCATCCATATCCCTCATGTCCGTGACAAGTATCCTCTTTGCTATAAACCCATTCACATACTTCTGAATGGTTCCGGTCTGCTTCAACCTACTTAGCTAGTCTCTTAGATGCAGAGTAGCATTCGGAGGAACGTAAGTCGCGCAAATTCTCGCCTTCATCATGTCCCAAGTGGCCACCGGTCCTTTGTTGGCCTCTGTCGTTCTCCACCAAGACATGGCATTATCTTCCAAGTATGGTTTTGCACATGGGACCTTCTCCGAGCTCGGTAACGGCAATGCTCGAAAATAGTCCTCCATATCATAAAACCAATCCTCCACCACCTTATAGTCGTTCACTCCCTTGAAGACCGGTGGGGGCTTTGGTTTGTACTTGGGAACTACCTGAGGGATTGATTCCACTTCGGTCTGTTCAACCTTGTTTGGTTCTGCCTCAGTCCCTACCGAAGGGTGTGCACCTTCTATGCTGCCAGCATCCACAGTCTTTCGCTTTTTTTTTTCTGCTTCTTGTCATGCTTTAGCTTGCATACGAGAGTCTCCAGCAGGGCATTGGTCTGTGCCAATTGTCCTTCTAGAACGTCCAATCGAGCCTTGGACGACCGCACCTCACCACCAGACTCTTGTTTGGAAATTTCCTCACTAGAGTCCTCCTCATGCAAGGATTCCTCATCCATTGCCTTTTGTTCGACCGGAGGCTCTAGCTCTGGAGGAGGTTCCGTCTCTGTCTTGGTTCGTTTACCTACCTTTGCTATCTCCCAGCAATCCGCCTCTATCCTTTGCTAGAACTGAGGAAAAGGCTCCGATACCAAATTGTAAGCCATAAATTTTTCCTTTCCAATTTATTTTTTCCAATTTAGGGGGATTGGGAGAGATTTGGGAATTCGTGGATGGATGGCTAACGCTCCGTTGCTCATGTAGTGAGTAGCTGAAACCAAGTAGGACCAAGTAAGAGCTGGTACCATAGGTGGGAATCTTGGCGAGGGAACTTAGCAAAAGTCAATGTAGTGCTGGACTCTGGGTTAGATTAGACTTAAGGTTTGGCTACACTCCCCGCAGGCACAAGCAGCCAAGCACACCAAGCCTCTAAGTTCCTAACATGATCATGGGACCCTTTATATCCCAAGTCTTGGGTGCAACACTTGCTTTGGGACGCCGGGGCGAAACACTGTGGCCTAACAGCCTGGTATGGGTACCTCTACCCCCCCCCCACTTCCATCCCGAAGGAAGGCACAAGCCCCTAGGAAGGGCGAGGACCAATGAGCCGCATGGTACTCAAATGGGGCACCACTCCACATGAGCCGGGAGCACTGCAATCGGTTTCACTTTCGGGAGTGGGAGCTACTCTTGAGCACTTCTTGGGGTGGCCCTCCGGCACCACCCAAGTCCCTACTCACTCCCACCCAAGGCCCCTCAGCCCTAGTATCAACCTCAAGTCAGTTTAGAAGCACCACTGGAGAGTTCCTTCAAGATTGGTTCCTAGACCTCACTATCCCTACTATACTTTTGGAACCCCCTGCAGCCCCCCCCCCCCCCCCCCCCCGGGAGACGCACGCTTTGGGGGCTTTCACCCCTTGACCCGTATTAGTACTCGGACTCGGTCTCGGACTCGACCTCGGACTCGATCTCGGACCTGACTTCGGACTCGGTCTCGGACTCGATCTCGGACTCGATCTTAGACCCGATCTCGAACTCGACTTCAGACTCGACCTCGGACTCAGTCTCGAACCCGATTTGGATCTCGGACTCGGTCTCCGATTCGGCCTCAGACTCGATCCCGGACTCTATCACGAACTCGGTCTCAGAGTCGGTCTTGGACTCGATCTTCGACTCGGTCCCATCCGATGAACTCTTTGTCATTTTGGTCATGCTTTCGGGGATCCTTTAGCCTACGACATCTTGGCGAGTTGGTTCCTTATACAGTGATGCAATTTAACATTCATTTTCAAGCCTTTTGTTTTGTGTAAAGCCAAATAATGCTTTTCACTTGGTACAATGTTTGTGAGACATTGCTTTTTCCACTTTTTATTGCTTGTGTTTTAACTCCACTTTCTGTGGGATATGGTCCTGTTTCAATGGAGGTTAATGTTATTGCTTCCCGAGTTCATAGACAAGGGCAATGATGTGGTCATGGCCATGATGTTCATTGTTGAACGTGTGATAAAATTAGTCATGTTAGCATTGGCATCCTCCATTTCCTGAGTGGAGACCTTGATGTTAGCAACAACTTGTTGGTGCTGTTGCAGTGGAAGGTTAAAACATCGAGATGCTTCTAAGAAACAAAAAGTCATGCAAGTAGTAGATGGTCCTTGTGTGAATAAATTTGTGACCTTTCTATTTTTCTTTCGGGAGTATTATCAAAGGGTTCATTTGGCACAAGTTCATTTCTCCTATTATTTTATCTGTGTTAATTAATACAAGCTTAAGTTTATCTTTTATTGCTTAGTTTGTAGCCACATATTGCTATCTACAATTACGTCATGTGGCAGAGCTAGTCTAGTCATAGAGCTCATCTAATATTGCATCTCCAACCGGCTCTCAAGCCCAGTTTAAAAGCTGCGAAACAGTCAAGAACTTAGGTATGTACCTTTTAACTTCTTATTGTTTGGAGAGGCTCGGTTGTCAGGATTACAGTCCAGGCTGATACCCACTGTGTCTTGAAGACTAAGGTGCTTGGCAGAGAAGGCGCATACTCTTACCCGTGTAAAAGCAAAACAAAAGCTTCAGAAGCCAAAACAAAAATCTTAGTGAGTGATACGAAAGAACCATTGTTTCAGTAGCTGAAGGGGGCATGAAGAGCGTGAACTTGCCGTCGATGCACAGTCTATTGTTAAAGACGGTAACAGATTGTGGTGCTAGATAACTAAAAACCAGTCAAGCTCCCATCTGAACGGAATGCAAGAGCAAATTGCTTTAAAACACAATGTAAGCAATGTGTTCATCAGATCTTCCTTGGAATCAAATTAGTCAACAGGCAGGCCTCTTGGCCCTCAAAAGCGTTGCATGATTGCAACTGTAGAGAGACAGATGCTAACCATTTCATCTAGAATTTTTGTACAAGAGAATGGTCT